CACACACACACACACACACACACACACACACACACTCACTCCTCTGGCTCCTTCCCTCCCTGGCAGACCCTAGCACCGTGGTCCCACCATGGCCCTCAGCAGGATGAACTCCAGGCCAGGTTTTCCCCACAGCCTGTGCACAGCCGGCCTAGAGGAAGGAGCGGGAAAGATCACTGGCTGGCTTTGGCTGGCCTTACCTTTCCCACGTAGGTGAAGAGCGCAGCCTGGGGAGACAGCTCCCCGCTGTGTAACTTCTGCACCAGTTGAGGCAGGGTCAGGGCCAGCAGCGCCTTTGAGTCCAGGTCAGGGTTCTGGGGAGACACCTCAGATCAGTCCCCTACTCCCTGCAGGCCCTCTATACCTGTCCCAGGTACCCATGGCCCATGTCCTTAAGTCCCCACACCTACTAAGCAGATGATCACTGCCACATGCCAATCCATGACAGACAAGCCCACCCACAAATCTGACAATGTGACCCAGCCAGGGCAAGCCCCTGCCACCTCGAACAGTGCAGATTATCTCTTCAAGAAGCTTCCTGGCAGCCTGGCTGGGCGTGGCTTAGCAGTTGAGCATTGACCTAGGATCCAGGAGATCAGGTTCGATTCCAGTCAGGGCACATGTCCCTGTTGCAAGCTCCATGCCCGTTGAGGGTCATGCAGGAGGCAGCTGATCAATAATTCTCTTATCATTGATGTTTCAACTCTCTCTCTCCCTCTCTCCCTTCCTCTCTCTAAAATCAATAAAGATATATATTTTTAAAAAAGAAGAAGAAGAACCTTCCTGGCAGGGACACCCAGGGAAAAGCTATAGCCAGGCTGATTTTTTAAAATAAATTAGAATTTATTAAAATAAAAAAACCTAGGCTCTGGGGAAGATGAAATGACAAAGTGTACACTGGAGGGAAATACTGCAAACCACATGTCCATCCAAGTGGTAGTATGCAAATATACAAAAAAAAAAACCTCAAAATGCAACTCTGAAAGCAAACAATCCAATTACAAAGTAGGCAAAAGACATGGCCAGGCATTTCATTGAAGAGGATATACAGATGGCAAATAAGCAGATGAAAAAATCAAAATCATCGTGAGATATTATGACACATACATCAGAACAACTTAAACTAAATGTAAGAACAGCCCCAAGTGCTGATGAGGGTGTGGAGAAATCAGTCACTCATGTATCAATGGTGCTGATAAAAATGGTAGGACCACTCTAGAAAACAGCATGGTAATTTCAAAAAACAAGCAAACAAACAACTATAACAAAAACATGCAATTATTACACATCCCAGCAACTCAACCCCAGAGTATCTATCCCAGAGAAATGAGAGCATGTGCCTTAAAGGTTGACTCAGCAGGTCTGGGGTATTCAGAACTTGAACATTACAAAGGAAGATCTGACTGGCCTGGCTCCAAGAGAAAACCTCTGAGACCTTGGAATGTCCTGCCCCAGGCTGCTTACTGTGTGTGTTCCAGGCATCACACTGGTGTGCTCTATGTTTTTATTAAATCTACTACCATTCCGCTTGCACAGTGAAGAAACTGAGACTCAGAGAGGGGAAGTGCCTTGCTTAGGCCATACAGGCAAACTAGAGTCTCTGCCCACTCAGCACGGGCTGCCCACTGGCTGTCCACCTGCCCGACCACCCGACCAGCAGCAGGGGAGCGTGAGAACAAGACCGCTTCCTGGGTTGTTAGGCTGCAGCTGGAGGCCACATACAGAAGAGGATTTTTTTCATTCATTCCACAGATAAGGTGCCTACTCTGGATCAGGTGCCACACTAAGCATGGGGTTATAGCAGTGAACAAAGATGGCATACCCAACCCCTAGCCGGTTTTGCTCAGTGGTTAGAGTGTTGGTCCTTGGACTGGAGGGTCTGGGATTCGATTCCGGCCAAGGGCATATATCTCAGTTGCAGGCTCATCCCTGGCCCGGATGGGGCACATGCAGGAGGCAACCAATCAATGTGTCTCTCTCACATCGATGTTTCTCTCTCTCCCTTTCTCTCCCTTCCACTCTCTCTGAAAAGGGACGGAAAAAATATCCTCAGGTGAGGGTTAAAAAAAAAAGGCATATCCATGCTCTGGGGGGTTTACACAAGGTACAGGTTGGGAGTGAGCAGATAATAAGTTAACAAGTAAGAATAGTGAGAAATAACTTAAAGAAAATAAAACTGAGTATGGGAAATGGGCAGCATATAGGTAAAGGGTGGTCAGAGCTCTCTGAAGGAGATATCTGATCAGACCCCTCACTGCCAGGCCTCAAAGGCTCCCCAGAGTCCTTGGGATCAGCCCCTACCTTTAAACAGCCAGTTGCTTCCTCCTCAAGGGTACTGACTAATTAGTAAACAGGGGCTACAGGAAATCTGAGTCACAGCCACCAATTCTCACCTCTATGGTCTCCTGTTCTTGTCAAAGTCTTCAGGGGCCTCCTTGTTGCCAAACCCAACAGAAACTTGACTCTTTTGCTCCCTGTCTCATTGACCACTTGTCAGTTTTCTTCAATTTTCTCCTGGGCCTAGAGATACCACCCTCTCTGATTTTCCTCCTGCCTTTCAGCTACTTCTGTCATCCACTTATTCAGTCAATCAACAAACATTTTCTGAGCATCCACTATGTGTCAAGGACTATGTTAGGGGCTATGAATTTAGAAGTAACCAAGACAGGCAAGTCCCGGCTTTCAGAGAGCTGCCATTCAAGAAAATAAATGAATTATGTATTTGTGAGAAAGCAAATAGAGTGCTGTGATGGAAATGACAGAGAACTGACCCAGATGGCATGGGCAGGAGTCCCCTAGGAGGTGAAATTTCAGCTGTGATTTGAAGGATAAAAAGGAGCCAGACAGTAGGGGAAGACAGAGAATCTTTGAGATTCTGTCTGGGCACATCTTTTTCCCTCTCTGATGCTGGGAAAAGTCATTCCTTCTGCTGGCTTCCTCTCCAGGCTCTCCACCTACCCCATAGCCTGCTGATCCTCCACCCAGCCTGACCCAACTAAGCTCAAATCCGGTCACTGGGCTTCTCCCAGTGGTGCCCACCCCTCTGTGTCCTTCCCCCTGAGCTTGCTCCCCTGCTTTCCACCAGCTCCTTCTCACCCTCCCCTGTGTATATCCTCACTCAGGGAAGGGTGCTGCATTCATCCAGGTGTTCAAGTAAGAAAACAGGAGTCATCCTGTACTCCTCCCTCTCCCTCCCACCGGTATCCAATCATTCACCAAGCCCCCTAAATAGCTCTGAAAAATGGTCACCTCTCCATCTCCTCCACCAAGATCCTCGCTGGTGCTCATCCTTTCTTTCCCAGGTCACCAAGGGGCCACTAGCTGGCCGCCCTGCCCAAGCCTTGTCACTCCCATCCACCCTTGCTTCCTGCTAGCCCAGACAGTGCAAAGCCCAACCAGGGCTTGCCTCTCCCCTTAAAACCACTTTACACCACAAGCTCCAGAGCATGTTCCAGGAGGTGCTTCCAGGCGTGGCCCTGTCAGACTCCTCTGCAACCCCTCAATGCAAAACCACCCCCTCACACACACCACACCCCAAGAGCTGAGCACCCTCTACACACACCAATTACACAGCCTGTGTAACCCTTCCCTTAATTTGTTGAATGGATACAATACTTATTTGGGATTTTTTATTTTTTTTTAATATAATACAGCTCAGTTGGTTAGCGCGTCAATCTGATACGCCAAGGTTGTGGGTTCGATCCCCGGTCAAAGCAATATAAGAATCAACCAATGAATACATAAAAAAGAGGAACAACAAATCAATATTCCTCTCTCTCTCTCTCTAAAAATCAGTAAATTTAAAAAAAGAAGCTATCAGCAAGCTCCCCTCCATTCTCAGCACAAATTTTTAATTATTTCCTATGTTTTTAAATGTTAAAGACTTTTTTTTTATATATATATATTTTTATTGATTTCAGAGAGAGGAAAGGAGAGGGAGAGAGAGAGATAGAAACATCAATGATGAGAGAGTCATTGATCAAGCCCACAACCTGGGCATGTGCCCTGACCGGGAATCAAACCCTGATCGCCTGGATCCCAGGTCCACGCTTAACCGCTGAGCCACGCCTGGCCAGGCAAATGTTAAAGACTTTAAAGGCATAGGAAAGAATTTTAAAGCCTTCAACTAATTATCAGGAAGCTGAGACATTTTCTCTTTACAAGAAACCAAAAGTAAGTCTGCCCCTCAGGGAGACCAATCTGTGAAAAGGGGGGAAATTAACTTTTGTATGGAGAATGCAGGAAAGTGTACAGATAACTTCAAACTGAGCTTGTGGCCAGTCTGCATGCATACCTTTTCAAGGAAAGGATACTATAGCTACCATTGAATCTGCGGACCAAAAAAAGGGTTATGTGGAACAAGTCCTCATAGGGCCGATCATAAATTCTTAACAGCACATGTCATGTGGGTAGTCATTCCCCAGGCCTATAACTTCTTTAGTGAAAGGTTTTAACCCAGCCCTGTCTATTGTTCTTATGCATCTAGGTTAACACACCTTTGAAATACCAGGAGTAATACTCCTGGAAGGGAGTATTAACCCTCAAGAAAGCACATAATCTTATTAACTGTCCTGCAATCCAATCCCTGCCTTGCTTTCTCTAAACTTCCTTACGCTCCCCCGGCCCCTGCCAAATTTCAAATGCACAAAAGAAGCTGCAAAACAGTTATTCTCTGGAGCAGCAATTTTCAATCGGTGTGCCTCAAGAATTTTTTAAACATGCAATATCTGACTATTTAGTCAGGGGCACTGACCTTTTTTCCCTGATTGTCAAATAAAACATTGACAACAGCCAACATAATAGTCGTCTGGTGTGAATGCCTGTCTTAAACCATAAATATGCAGGTCATATAATAGAGTTGCATCTTATTGGTCACATCACATAATAAGGTTGCATTTGACTGGTTAATTCTTGGTTTCAGAAATCCTTATATACAAGTATAGGCACCAGATTTGTTAAAAAGTCACTTAGAAGCAAAAAATGTAGGTAATCTTTTTTTTTCCTTTTTATAAGTCAATCAAAATTATACCTATTTTTTGTCAGATCGGCAAAAAATATATTTTTTGTTGTGCTGCAGAATTTTAGTAATTAGTTTATGTGTGCCATGAGATGAAAAAGGTTGAAAACTGCAGCACTGGAGCATTTGAGATCTTGCTCCCCAGCACATGCTTGCCTCAAGTAAACTCATAAAAATTCTCTACAGGTCTGGACATTTGTATGCTGACAAATCTTTGCCACTCCTCCATCTGTTTTCCTCCTTTTGAACCACCTATGGTCCTAATTTCAGGTATCCTGGATTGTCCTCCATGTCTTTTTTTATCTTCCCTCATGGTTTTTTAAAAATCACTTTTGTTCTATTTCAGGATATCTCTTCCATTTCATCATGTA